GATGAGTCTTTAAACTTGAGACAGCGTGTAATCATTTCGAGGAGGCACCTCCGAGTGCTTGTGACACTTGGACTGAAGAAACAAACCCATCCAACTGGTAATGAGAAACTGTTCTTCCAGTTATTGGCAGCAAAATACTTAAAATTGTTCGTAGCGTGTATTTCACAACTTTGCAAGTGCAATCAATAAATGCACTTTCTTCGACGATTTCAAATACTGTCATGTCGTCTTATTTAAAAGTTGAGGATACAAAATAACGTGATCAAGTAAAGTTGTATGCTTCCAAATTTGACGCTTTAAAGACAAAAGTGTCCAAATTTCACCTGTATGTTTTTATTTTATCCAGATGAACAATTTACTTACCTTTGCATTCATTTGTTTCTTCTTCAGTTGTGTAAACGTTTATAAAATACAGTATATATCACAGCAATTTAACTTAGATGCCCAAATCATTTCCATAGATTTTCCAGACTGGATATTCTTTGGCCTTGACATTTCATATCTTCAAATATATAATGTCTTCATGATCAACCCCTCTGCTGGTCTGTTGAAGCAGATCCTGAGACAAAAGGAACAGGAAAAGGGAAGGACAAAGAAGAACCCCACAAGTTCATCTCCATGACAACAAGTACAATCCATTATAACATGATGCACCTACTGATGAGGAAGGAAGGGACTCATGATCACTTTAATTTCACTAAGGTTTTGAATCTCACAAGCTGTAAACTATTGGAACGTCAACATACATTACCTGACAAGAATCTGGCCTCACCATCCCGTCTGTACACTGGGAACTGTGCACGAAACAAGAGGAGAAGCTGTGTACATGTGTTATATGTTGGGTCACACATATATATTACGACGTTGATGGAAGACTGGAGTCTACCTGCACTACGTTTTGAAATCTCGATGGAAGTTTTCAGGTGCGTGTCTTTAAGAAACATAAGAAAGAACGGTAGTCGAGACAAATGCGGATTTGTACATTACACAAGTCTGAAGTTTTGGTAAAAGTCATGTCATCCTTTGACAAAAATATTTCTTGTTTGTTATATTATTCAACAATCTGCAGAGTTCCAGATAAATCATGGAGTAATGGTATAATTAACGAGTGGTTAAAGAGATACAGTGACACACATTCAACATATACGTCCCACCCACTTAATCCCATCTACATGGCGTCTATGTCAAGTGTTTTATCCATGTTGCAACCAAAGCACTTGTGTCTCTGTACTCCTTATAGCTTGTTGCACATAATTTAATATTATCCATATGGTGAAACATACCCAGTGTCATATATATCATATGTGCACATATCACTTTTGCCAAGTAACCATTGTTTCTGTATTTCATCGTCTGTGACGTTATAAAACACTTGAACGTGACGTCAATGAACAGGACAGTCACACCTGCTTACAGTTTTACTGCACAAATGTACATGAGTAAAATGGGTAATAAAGAAATTATTACACTCGCAAGTGGGCCACACGACTCGCTCTCGATCTCACAGTACAAAATTTCACACTCGTTTCGAAAAAGTCTATGTTCCACTTGCTCGTGTTATAATCTCTATGTTTAGATTGACAATTTGAAGCTAGTCATCATGGATTCTGGTCCCCATTGTGATCACTGACCACATCCATCGTTATAAAGATTATTATGTTAAGGAACTTCTTCCTTATTTTTTTCTGAATGATTATTTTCTCACAGGCTAATGGACATTATAAAACTTTCAGATTCCCTGGACCGCCAGTCTCCTGCTTTTCCATGAAGGATGATTCAGTCTATTGCTTGACGCACAACTGGATCTACAAACTTAAGATTTTTGAGGCACTTGCTCTTGCTGAGAAAACCTCAATTCAGCTCAATGTTCCCCGAGGCACTCATGATGTAATTATTGATTCTGATAATTGGAGTCATGTTTTCATGACCACCAACAGCTCAGTCGTAATGAAACCGTTTGATATGTCTACTGGCAGTGGTGACAATGTTATGGAAATTCAACTGAAATGCCAGCTTGTTGCCTGGTATAAAGGTTTGATCTGTTTCCACGATTTGAGGCTTCCTTGTCCTGTGGAAATATGTCCTTTTCCTGTGATTGTCTCTGGGGAATGCAGGGAAACTAACAAGGTGTAAACGTAAGTGCTGTCGTCATATATCTGTATCTAGCCACTGTAAACAGTTTGTAATGTACATGTGTTGAATTTTAATCTGACAAAATGAATCTCTGAAAATGGCAGGAGTGAATGTCAAGAGTATTCAGTTGTGGATGGTAGCATATGCGGCTTCAGTTGCAATCTTCGTTATGATATACTCTCATGGATGAGTATAGGATGAGAAATGTGGATCACTATAAATATTTCATGGGCATCTGGAACTGACCATCCGTGTTCTGAGAGACTGAAAAACTTTTACACGTCAAATCAGCCTGGACAAGACGTTTCTGACGTCTCATAACAGTTGTCAGAATTATCAAATTTGTGCTACAGCTTGTGTTTTATTGCAAATGATATTGTTGTAGCCCATGTTGTAAATGCTAAATATTTCTGTTGTAGCATTTGTAAATGTAATGCAAGAGTGTTCGAGGATAACATTGTGTGTGTTTGTATGTGCGTGCGTCCGCGCGTGCATGCAGAGAATGTTTTTTAAGCAAAGTTCCCAGTATAGGACTTTGTTTAAAAATAAAAAATCTACGTTCCCAACAAAGAATTGGTGGATAAAGTGCATACATTTAGAATAAGCACAACATCAGGAAACAACAGTGTGGACTTGGTATACACATGGTACTGAGACAAGGCAAGAGTGTATGATATTCTTGATGATCTGAACGTGGTCCAGAGACAACATCTTCACACATTCTGAGCCTAAACAAGCGGTCTCACTGTAAGAGCAGAATAGTCGAAGACAGTGATGTACAAAAGCGCTCACCCAAAGGCTGTGACATCTTATTAAATGGCGAAACGGGCAGATTTTACGACGCATCACTTTTAATTTTCACAGACAACACAGATGCTGATATCACTTTCCCGGGGGAATTACAAGGCATGCATGAGTACTGATCATGTCATATTGATACTTGTGATGATACGGAGTGAAATTTGTCTTCAGGAACCAATGCTTGTCCTTAGAGGCGAGAAACAGGACCGGGTGGCTTGTGAGTGAGCGAGATAAGTTAGATCGGCAGGATTTCAGCCAAATCGTCAGGCTCACTGATTTGGTTGATGCATGTGGTCGTATCCTAATTGTATAGATCAATTAACATGATGTCTAGATTGTCTGGTGAATTAGATGGATTCCGTTTGTCTACGCACTGAGAATGCATGGTTCGTGAAGATCCGGGTTAGAAGTGATCTTCACCAACCCATGCTTGTCGTAAGAGGCGACTAAAGGAATGGCGTGGCCAGGCTCGCTGTCTTGGTTAACACACGTCATCGTATTTCAGTTGTGTAGATCGAGTATAATTATGTCGATCACTGGATTGTCTGGTGCAGATGCGATTATATACAGACCGCTGTTATATAGTTGAAATATTGCTGAGTGCGGCGTTTAACAACAGACAAACACACAACAAACATCAATAATAGTGAAGCGGGTTGCAAGAGAATCACGATGACCATATCTCCGTCTGTTAGAGAGTTACTTCGATCAGAGATGGGTGGTCGCATCGCAAATACAGTACTTTCAGCTTAGTATTCAGGGTTGGAGTTGGAAGCGCAACAATAAACATATGTGAATAACATTGAATTCAGACTTAATTAATTTGGCATGAATAAGCTACTAGATACAAAAGGATTGCTATACATGGCGAGGAAATGGTTAGTGTAAATAACAATTTCGCGAATTGCTCTCCTACAGGTTTCTTCCTTGAGAACTAAATTCATTTACTAACAGGGAATAAACTAATTATTTTCATTATTGGATATTTATATAACGTACATATCCACGCAAGCAGTACATGCCCAAGGCGCTGGAGGGTTCTCTTCATCAACGGATGTCTTTTCTTCTGGCAGTCTTTTAACCAGCTCAACTCCCAGGGGAGTATTCAACTCGTGCAGCCTGTTATCACACAGCCTCACACGGTACACATTTGCAGCTGGGTGAACTGGGACACATAGTCACAGTACTTTGTCCAATGATACTGCACGTTACTATACCCGTAACTAGGTATCTGCACATCTGGTCACCTACCATCGGATGAGTGGGTTCTTTTAAGTGGGCAGGGTTGTGACAACACTGAAAGAGCCTGCTAGTAATGTTAGCTCCAAGGTTTTTACACCCGATCACAAGTGGGGATCGATCCAGGCACCTTTCGCTTCCTAGCGCGGCGCCTCAGACAGCTCGCCCACAATGCCCCCGAATCCACCAAATATATCAGGCAAAATTGCATGTTTCACATTTAAATGGGGAAGCAAAATAAGATATTCAATATGATATCTGATACCGCTAATTCAACAAAGTGTCCCATAATAAATAATACAAACATGACAGTGATGATTGTGTTAAGGCTTCATCTGTCAAAGTAGCATAAATTATGCTACTTTTAACGAAATACTGAGAGTGTGGTAAAATCCTAACTCTAATATCACATGCAGTACATTTATATCGCAGAATATTACCAGGATAAGCAGATCACGACATGCCTTTCCTTTCACAATGTATTTGGCACAAAGGGATTTTAACGGCCCTGTAGCATATTTTTATGTGTCACAGTATAAGTCTCTACAAAGATTGTGGGCAACTCAACAATGTTCTGAATATACAAGAACTAGAGTAAAAAGACAATGTATAAGTTAGATAGTATGTACACAAGGTCGTGAGCATCAGTGAGGATCATACTTGCCGTAAGAGGCGAATACCTTGATTGGGGCCTCACGGCTGCTGCCGGCTATCGTGTCAGGTATGATGATCGATGCTCATGATGTCAGTCACATGATTATTATTATTTATTAACTACAGGTGTCGTCATAGAGAAAATTGTTGAACGAGACTAGGCATAAATATAATTATGGATATTTGAGCTGCAATCGTTTGATGAGGGTGAAGTCCACTTCAATGGCGTCGGCCTGCTGCACTGGAACCCGTACTGGACCAGTGAACAGATTGTTGTCATCAACAGATATCTGAAATGATTATGAACCAATATGTTTATTACACAGGCTGACCGATCGTAACACACACGCACGCTCTCTCACAAACACACACACACGCAAGCACACCCTCCCTCCTTCCCTCGTTGGTCTTCAGTAACCGATGCTTGTCGTAAGAGGAAGCTAACGGGGTCGGATGGTTAGGCTCACTGACTTGATTGACACATGTCATCGTATCCCAATTGCGTAGATTGATGTTCATGCTTTTGATCACTGGACTCTCTGGTCCAGACTCAGCTATTGAGAGACGCCACCATATAGCTGGAATATAGCTGAGTGCGGCGTTAAACAACGACAATCCAACCATCCAACCGGTCTAACACCGTTATCAAGAAAGTGATAAACAAGATGGCGATTCAGAGGCTTATATCTCACCCTACTTGTATATATGTCCCTCTATCGTCATTCTATTCATCACTTTCTTGATAACGGTGTTGGAACCTACTCCGAAACGTAGCTCTCACTGTAATAGAGACGTCGTTCATTCATATATTATTACACTGCCTACATGACAAATACAGCCCACGTACCAGGAACTCGGTGTCTGTGATCTTGATGGAGAGATTCGAGATGACGTTGGGCGTGAAGACTACATCTGGATGGCTCAGTTCCGTTGACCACACGCCAGATGACCGTGTATTGAAGCCTATGTCCATTGTGTCCCATCGTACAACCAAATACAGAGCAAACGTGCTGTCACCATTTACTTGAAGACGCACCCAGTTTCGACTGAAAACAGAGATGTCACCCATTTATATATACCACAACTCTCACACTGTCAGTTAGACTTAGTGCAAGCCTCTCTTTCAAGGTCATTGAATATAACAACTCCAATACCGGACTCCATTCCCCACACAGGTACACTGTATGGAGCCTTTTTCTAATGTGGAATATTGCTGAAAGCGACATGTAACCACACTGACTCCTTTCCAGTGCTCATCTCATTGTATCCCCACGGAGACATGTCTACAGTAGTCATCTCATTGTATCCCCACAGACACATGTCTAAAGTAGTCATCCCATTGTATCCCCACAGACGCATGTCTAAAGTAGTCATCTCATTGTATTCCCCTACAGCCGTCTAAAGTAGTCATATCATTGTATCCCCACACACGAATGTCTACAGTAGTCATCTCATTGTATCCCCACAGACGCATGTCTAAAGTAGTCATCTCATTGTATCCCCACACACGCATGTCTACAGTAGTCATCTCATTGTATCCCCACACACGCATGTCTAAAGTAGTCATCTCATTGTATCCCCACACACGCATGTCTAAAGTAGTCATCTCATTGTATCCCCACAGACGCATGTCTAAAGTAGTCATCTCATTGTATCCCCACACACACATGTCTACAGTAGTCATCTAATTGTATCCCCACACACGCATGTCTAAAGTTGTCATCTAATTGTATCCCCACACACACATGTCTAAAGTAGTCATCTCATTGTATCCCCACACACGCATGTCTAAAGTAGTCATCTAATTGTATCCCCACACACGCATGTCTAAAGTAGTCATCTCATTGTATCCCCACACACGCATGTCTAAAGTAGTCATCTAATTGTATCCCCACACACACATGTCTACAGTAGTCATCCCATTGTATCCCCACACACGCATGTCTAAAGTAGTCATCTCACTGTATTCCCACACACGCATGTCTAAAGTAGTCATCTCATTGTATCCCCACACACGCATGTCTAAAGTAGTCATCTCATTGTATCCCCACACACACATGTCTAAAGTAGTCATCTCATTGTATCCCCACAGACGCATGTCTAAAGTAGTCATCTCATTGTATCCCCACACACGCATGTCTAAAGTAGTCATCTCATTGTATCCCCACAGACGCATGTCTAAAGTAGTCATCTCATTGTATCCCCACACACGCATGTCTAAAGTAGTCATCTCATTGTATCCACACACACGCATGTCTACAGTAGTCATCTCATTGTATCCCCACAGACGCATGTCTAAAGTAGTCATCTCATTGTATCCCCACACACGCATGTCTAAAGTAGTCATCTCATTGTATCCCCCCACACACATGTCTAAAGTAGTCATCTCATTGTATTCCCACACACGCATGTCTAAAGTAGTCATCTCATTGTATCCCCACACACATGTCTAAAGTAGTCATCTCATTGTATCCCCCACACACATGTCTAAAGTAGTCATCTCATTGTATCCCCCCACACGCATGTCTAAAGTAGTCATCTCATTGTATCCCCACACACGCATGTCTAAAGTAGTCATCTCATTGTATCCCCACACACGCATGTCTAAAGTAGTCATCTCATTGTATCCCCCCACACACATGTCTAAAGTAGTCATCTCATTGTATTCCCACACACGCATGTCTAAAGTAGTCATCTCATTGTATCCCCACACACGCATGTCTAAAGTAGTCATCTCATTGTATCCCCCCACACGCATGTCTACAGTAGTCATCTCATTGTATTCCCACACACGCATGTCTAAAGTAGTCATCTCATTGTATCCCCACACACGCATGTCTAAAGTAGTCATCTCATTGTATCCCCCCACACACATGTCTAAAGTAGTCATCTCATTGTATCCCCACACACGCATGTCTAAAGTAGTCATCTCATTGTATCCCCACACACGCATGTCTAAAGTAGTCATCTCATTGTATCCCCACACACGCATGTCTAAAGTAGTCATCTCATTGTATCCCCACAGACGCATGTCTAAAGTGAAGTCATCTCATTGTATCCCCACACACGCATGTCTAAAGTAGTCATCTCATTGTATCCACACACACGCATGTGTCTACAGTAGTCATCTCATTGTATCCCCACACACGCATGTCTAAAGTAGTCATCTCATTGTATCCCCACACACACGCATGTCTAAAGTAGTCATCTCATTGTATCCCCACACACGCATGTCTAAAGTAGTCATCTCATTGTATCCCCACAGACGCATGTCTAAAGTAGTCATCTCATTGTATCCCCACAGACGCATGTCTAAAGTAGTCATCTCATTGTATCCCCACACACGCATGTCTAAAGTAGTCATCTCATTGTATCCCCACAGACGCATGTCTACAGTAGTCATCTCATTGTATCCCCACACACGCATGTCTACAGTAACCATCTCATTGTATCCCCACAGACGCATGTCTACAGTAGTCATCTCATTGTATCCCCACAGACGCATGTCTACAGTAGTCATCTCATTGTATCCCCACAGACGCATGTCTAAAGTAGTCATCTCATTGTATCCCCACAGACGCATGTCTAAAGTTGTCATCTCATTGTATCCCCACACACACATGTCTAAAGTAGTCATCTCATTGTATCCCCACAGACGCATGTCTAAAGTAGTCATCTCATTGTATCCCCACACACGCATGTCTAAAGTAGTCATCTCATTGTATCCCCACACACGCATGTCTACAGTAGTCACCTCATTGTATCCCCACAGACGCATGTCTAAAGTAGTCATCTCATTGTATCCCCACACACACATGTCTACAGTAGTCATCTAATTGTATCCCCACACACGCATGTCTAAAGTAGTCATCTCACTGTATTCCCACACACGCATGTCTAAAGTAGTCATCTCATTGTATCCCCACACACGCATGTCTACAGTAGTCTTCTCATTGTATCCCCCCACACACATGTCTAAAGTAGTCATCTCATTGTATCCCCACACACGCATGTCTAAAGTAGTCATCTCATTGTATCCCCACAGACACATGTCTAAAGTAGTCCATGAAACAGACTGCTTTCGGATTGCATTTATATTTTAGCGGGGAGTATCACCAGCCACTCTCCCCCGTCCATTTATTGCTGTATGAACGGAAGCATATTTCATACAACGTCAGTTGACAAAAGAAATCATAACTATAGTTATTATGTGTAGTCGATACGCTGTTGTCATAAGGAGACATACTATGTACAACATGAACCTTCCCCTGTTTATGTCTTGTCTGATCTGTAGGCGAGAAGCTGTGGTCATAAGGAGACATAACATGTACAACATGAACCTTCCCCTGATTATGTCTTGTCCGACCTGTAGTCGAGAAGCTGTGGTGATAGGGAGACATAACATGTACAACATGAACCTTCCCCTGATTACGTCTGACCATTACAATTGCTCTGGTCATGTTCACTGACAGCATATCGAAGGCTAGTTCCAACGGTACAGCATGTATTACATCAATATGTAATTCTCTTTTGTCTTAGTTATACACTCTTCAAAAAAGAAGGGGAACCTTAACTTTGAATTTGGATAGGAAGAACATACTTATCAAAGACAGACATCTTATGAACGCACAACCATTTCTCTGTATCACCACCCCTAAATACAACGCATGGGATGCACGTGTACAACGCAGTAAACCAATACACGTGCATGGGGTGTCATTCTGGATTTTGACTTAAATATCAAGAAGGTCGGTAAATCATTATAGACCATTAATGTTGACAATCATCTTGCATCACGTCATACAAAAGTCATCTTTCAAGAGCATTTACAGTACAAACTATGGTCGTAAGGAAGTGCAAGAGGCGATGCACTCTAAAAACAGTCATTATCATATCAACATTTACTCCAATATGTCTCCCAGTGTTTTTAATCGTAAATCAAAAATGAAGTTGCTCTACATTTTCTATAGAGTATACTGAAGCAGTATACAAAATCGTCATAACGACATGTAATACAAAATGTTGATACTTTACAAACACCTACATGTTGACTCCATCTGCGGCTGCCTCCACGATAATCTCCGTTCCACTGGACAGAGGAGCAGGAAGAGGCGTCCTGAATACTCGCACCTGTTGTAAAGAAGACAGTGAGCAGGTGTGTGTTACATAACAAGTAGACAGGAGAGCAGGAAGAGGCGTCCTGAATACTCGCACCTGTTGTAAAGAAGACAGTGAGCAGGTGTGTGTTACATAACAACTAGACAGGGGAGCAGGAAGAGGCGTCCTGAATACTCGCACCTATTGTAAAGAAGACAGTGAACAGGTGTGTGTTACATAACAACTAGACAGAGGAGCAGGAAGAGGTGTCCTGAATACTCGCACCTGTTGTAAAGAAGACAGTGAGCAGGTGTGTGTTACATAACAACGAGACAGGGGAGCAGGAAGAGGCGTCCTGAATACTCGCACCTATTGTAAAGAAGACAGTGAACAGGTGTGTGTTACATAACAACTAGACAGAGGAGCAGGAAGAGGTGTCCTGAATACTCGCACCTGTTGTAAAGAAGACAGTGAGCAGGTGTGTGTTACATAACAAGTAGACAGGGGAGCAGGAAGAGGCGTCCTGAATACTCGCACCTATTGTAAAGAAGACAGTGAACAGGTGTGTGTTACATAACAACTAGACAGAGGAGCAGGAAGAGGTGTCCTGAATACTCGCACCTGTTGTAAAGAAGACAGTGAGCAGGTGTGTGTTACATAACAACGAGACAGGGGAGCAGGAAGAGGCGTCCTGAATACTCGCACCTATTGTAAAGAAGACAGTGAACAGGTGTGTGTTACATAACAACTAGACAGAGGAGCAGGAAGAGGTGTCCTGAATACTCGCACCTGTTGTAAAGAAGACAGTGAGCAGGTGTGTGTTACATAACAAGTAGACAGGGGAGCAGGAAGAGGTGTCCTGAATACTCGCACCTGTTGTAAAGAAGACAGTGAGCAGGTGTGCGTTACGTAACAACTAGGCATAGGATTTGAGATATGCGTGTCCATTGCCTATTACGCTTTTGCCACCTATCCTACAGATCCGGGTTAGAATTCGTCTTCAACAACCCATGCTTTCATAAGAAGCAACTAACGGCATCGGGTGGTCAGGCTTGCTGACTTTGTTGACACATGTCATCGTATCTTAGATGCGTAGATCGATGCTCATTCTGTTGATCACTGGATTGTCTGGTCCAGACTCGATTATTTCATACCACCTCCATATAGCTGGAATATTGCCGAGTGCGGCGTTAAACAACCAACCAACCAACCCCTCCCCAGCTTTTGCTTCCCCGTCTAAATACGGGTAACTGTCAGGACACTGTCGTTCATGTATGGCTGTCAATGTTGGTTTCGATGAGATCTTGATCTAGTTAAGGAATTTTACATCATTCATTGTGATTTAAATGTGTTTTAGGTTTAATGAAAACTATGGCAAAGTCTCCTCCTACCGTTAGTTTGCTTATCAGAGTAACATTATAATCATGAAGTGATGTATGTATTGAAGGACGTGCACATAATTGTTTCAAAATATGCATCACCGTACAGGGTCAATCCAGAGGGTCTGCATGCACCGTCCTATGTCCAACGGTACGTTGTCTTGGAAACATTTGCCTGACGGGGTCGGTAGATAGGAGAATCCGTTGGAGCAGGTGACATCCTCGTGGGTCTGGTTCCTCATCACCGAGAGTCCATTCAGGATCCGGAAGTCGCTGCAGGCAACTAAACACAACACAGATTCCACATCAGTCTCATCATGAACTACTTGCTGACAATTCCGACCTCAAAATACAACATACCATGCTGAAACAGTTATTTGTGTAATAGGTTTTGTTTCGCTCCTGTGAGTGAGTGAGTCACAGCGCCACTTCCAGACATTTTCCAACAATATCAATATAGGGACATCATAAATGGGCTTCACACATTGTGTGGTAACGAATCCGTGAGGAGCAAATGCTTTAACCACTTGGCTGTCCTACCTCCCTGCTCCTTTGACATAAGGTAACACCTTCTGGTGATTTGTTCTGAATGGATGTTTAACTTGGATTAAAACATATGTCATCATGTCAGGCTTCAGTGACAGCGAGCATGTGCAATGTACCAGTGAGTGACAATACATCTGATAATATTCCAATATCAAACATCCGCAAATATAACGCGTTATCGACAATCAAAAATATTGTACAGGCGCGGTCTATTGATCACTATTTTCTATGCCAGAATGAAAAGAAATCTGAATTCTTGACAGTATTGATTTACTGATAAAAACATTATTTTCACATACCAAGATCAAGTAGGTGACTTTGTTAACAATGTTATGAATGGTTCCTTGTTTGAGTGAGTTAAAATGACCTTGTCGCATCGTCATTGTTTCTGACATATAGTACAAGACCAAATCAGTGCACACACAGAAGACCAGTCTCAACACAAATTTCAAAGGAGTTTCAAAAAAATACATTTTTCTTCAAATTGTACAGACAATTTCTCAATGAGTTTACAATGAGATGCCAGCTCACATTGGAAAACAGATCTTTCAGATTTACTGAGTGATAGTGTGAATTCAATGCATTTGAAAACCCAACAACAGTCAAACAGAATATGCCTGATGGTGAACACTATATCACAAGAGATGCACTTAAGAGGTCTAACTTCATCTGTTGTAATCAGATAGTCATGAGTAAACCGTCTGTGGCAATACGACATCGTCGTAAAACTACCTCATCACGTCTTGACCTACTGATGTTGATGTCTGGATTATATGGTACTAACTAGTTTATTTACATACTGGTATTTACTGGGACTGATTTTATTAGATCACACTGCCGGGTTTATAAAGAACGTATTTAGTTAGTATTTAGTTAAATATTTCACGAATGACATTTTATCAGAACTAAGTCAACACTTTTTTGTGTATTTTACGTAAGAAAAACCTGGCCTGAAATTCTTGACATACCAAACCAACAATAATCAGTAGAGTTTCAATCACGTTTAGTCACAAAGCGTATCCACCTCGTTATCAACATACTCATAAAATACAGTTGTTAGTCATTAATAATTTAGAGCAATATCTATTTAAGTTAAACATTCTTTTGTACTTCAAAGGATAACGATCAAGAGTAGTGTAGCACTAGATGTTGATTATTGTCAAACCCAGTAACCCTTTGAATGAAAACAACCAAAACACAACGCTGTTCTGGGATAAGGCTGAAAACCAAACTTGGCATATAGCATTACATTAAGTCTCTGATTAAGAACAGAAGTAATTTTCCAAAGCTGCTCACAGGACTGACACGGTGATAATTAGTAGGATCTCTAATATCAACCTTTGTAAAACAAAGGCACAATCAGAGCTGATGACCAAGAAATAACCGTTTGATAAAACATTTTTGAAAGCCTTACACCACATGATGGAAGAGTGTGTCACACATTTACTTACCCTAGAAATTAACGTTTCATCCGACGGCCATATAAACAGTGAGATTTGCACACGTTTAAGGGTATTGAAATAATAGAACACTGCACTCATCACTTGCATTTCTTTCGCAGATCATGAAGAACATTTGGGAAACTATGAACAAATATCACAATGTGTTTAGATAGTAATAACATCTATAGTCGTAAATGTTGTGAGTGAGTTTACGCCGTTTTTAGCAATATTGCAGCAATATCTCAAGAAATGGGTTTCCACATTGTACCCATGTTAGGAATCGAACCCGGATCTTCTGCGTGACGAGCGGACGCTTTAACCATTAAGCGACAACAGCGCCCTTAACATGTTGTTGAGTATAGTATAATTCTTGTAGCAACGCCATCAGTTCTACTTATCATGCTCAATACAGCAAAGATCTGGATTAGAATTAGTCTTCAGCAACCTATGATTGTCATAAGAGGGATCGGGTGGTCAGTCTCGTTGACTTGGTTGACATATGTCATCGTATCCCATTAGCGTAGATCGATACCCATACTGTTGATCACAAGTCCAATAAAACAGTTATTGGACGAGATTCAAAGAAGACTGAATGACCTCCAACTAAGGCCGGCAACCGAAGCTGGACTCGATCAGGCATTTCGTTGAATATGGTCCCAAGTGCCGATTAACCGGCTCATTCATTCCATGTTGAGAAGATGCAACGCCGTCATCGATGCCCATGGAGACCACGCGCGATACTGACTTTGAGATATCCTAATGGTACCATTTGGTGATTTTGTTTGTGTGAACTCTAAATGTGATTCCCGAAAATGTGATAACCATAACTGTCAGGTTTTAACTCAATGCCCCTTTTTGATTGTTAATTAGATTGAATTAAAGTGTGTGGTTTAGAAACCTCTATCGATGTGGCGTTTCTTTTGCGGTTCAGTATAATATGTGACATCAATAGTTATAGGATAAGAAAACGAAAAACATGTTTCGTTTTAAATATACCAATGGGCGTCTGATAATTAGTTTTATCGATCTAAACAAGCTGAGAAAGCAACGTCTGAAACCTACTGATATATTGGATCCAATTACAATCAAACAAGTCCTGTAAGGTAAACGTGTTTGTACAATTATTTACTTTAGTATATAGCAAATATTTATATGTATGAACATGAAATATTCGTTCATATTCTAAAAACAGTTCAATTTTCACTACAGAATCAAAAGCTATGTTAACAGCTCTTAATTATATCAAGGCTCAAACTAACTGTGATTGTAAGCAGTTCATAACATTGTATGATACCCTTTCCTGTCTTCAAGCCTAATGAATGTTTCGTATAAAAAATCCAGGTTTACTTCAAATCATAGAATTATATAATCCGTTTGCTACTAGCCAATATGGCATCGTCTTCTGTTGGCTACCTAGTCGCGTTGGTATTACTGGAAACACAATGACCGATGCTGCAGCCAGTGCAGCACTCACCAAATCGGTGACACCACTTCTAATTCCGTACAGTGACTATAAGCCTGCAATCAGATGTTACATCAAGGATTCATCTAATTAAGTGAGACACTCAAGTAAGTATAAATGAGCTACATGCTATAAAACCAACCATCGGTTACGCTTACTTGGGTTGCCAGTCCAGATTTGAGGATGCCACCATACTCTTAAGACAGGGTTATGTATAAATGTAACTTGTGTGTTCACTTTAAGGACTAACGTTGTTTACTTTGCATGTTTTCAAAGGCAAGCATCGATCTATTTATTCAGCAGTGTATCACAGCTTTACGTGATTCGCGTTTCTCTTGGAATTGAGTATAGTATCCTCAGGAGTATGGATAAGGATGGAGGGATTATTTTACACTCAGTGATCATTAATCCCGCACTTCACGTTGTTTGCAGGGGCGATGGGGTCCCGGCTAAAGTGAGTAAATATCAGTTAAAAGTTTAGTCACGTCAGCATTATTGTACTGCATCAGCTCGGGTTCGATTCCCCACATGGACACAATAAGTGAAGTTCTTTCCTGGTGCCCCCTGCCTTGATATTGTTGGAATATTCTTAAAAGCAGCAAAACGCCAACACACTCACTCATTATTTTGCAAAGCTTTTTTGAAGCATCGTGAAGTGGTGGGGGAAATATTTGAAGTTGCACTCATCCATGATACTTTTGATATCGTACAGGGGAAACTGAGCTAATGTCTCGATATGAGATAAGAGAATATTTGCCAACATATTCTCTCAAAATTAACCACGTGTACTATTTGGATTAAGTTATTAGCAACAAAGAATTTGGGAATTTCATGAATCGCCAAATCTGAAGCTGAAAACTCAAATGTTGTTCGTCAATTCATCCATTACACTCCAAAGTTCAAGCTGTTTAATTGTTTTAGCAGAAGAGATCAAAGATGGGTACTTTGTGTTGGTTTTGGTTCAAATTGTGATCCCTGAAGAAACCTGTACCCATTGTAGACAAACATTATGGATAACAACTTCTTTATTTTGTGAGTGAGACGTTTGATAATGTTCTTGTACCGTTGTTCATGCCTCATTCAAAGACGTAAACCTGGATTGTACTAACAAACAACAATTCAGAATGTGTATTTCAACAAGTCACTTCAAAACGCAGATATGCATTGCTCAGGATTAACAAGCAAACACAGATCATGTATTACTATATATAAAAGAATACCACCAGAACGACATACAGCATTCGTTACCTGTATAATACTGCCAGCCTGCCTCTTGTTCACCCCCAGTGATGACGGATGAATAATACAACCGGCAACGTTGAGACACTGGATTGTGCAGTACCATGTTGCACTGCGGATCACCAAAACACCTCCAAACACATGCGGCTTTGTCAGAAACACTGCGTTCAGTGATGAAGGTGTCATTGAACATTTGTCCATCCAAACTTCCATGATGGTTAAATGTCAGAATGCCACATGACTGTGAAGCTGAGCTGTAAGTCATGGTGATGGTGAGAACAAGCTGAACAAATTCCCACACAACCATCCTCATGCTGCACGTTTCTGGCAATAGTTTCTGGTAGTTAGAGGAGAATATTCAAAGAGCACTTCACTATAACTCAAGTATCGATCACTTAGCGTGACGATCGATGGATAAGATCGGTTCGCACCACTGCCGGAAACAAACTACGCTGGTTAATATCTGGTTTGATGTTTCATATTGACATATTGACAGTATTTAAACGGGTAACATATTGATCAATGGATTATTGATGAACAGTCTTTCCGATGAAGCTCGTCTATGCGGAACTATAAGCATATGTTATTATGTTATAATTAATGGACTCGTGGCAATCAAGGTGGATAGTTTCGATTATAAAATCGCTTTGTCTGTCTTCAAAAACTGGAATTCTTCCGATCGAATTAAACGTCTCCATAGACACAAAAACAAATAACAAATAGAAGGTCATAACGACCAAAGAAGCCCAAGAAGTTACTGTTTAAACAATAAGAAGCATCTTAGAAACAAAGAACAACATCTATGTCATGATTTGCAAATATACTACCGACAAGGTAAGGGAACTGATGACATTTGTTGGTTGGTTTAATGTTTAATATTATCAGCAATATTCCAGCTCTATGTCTGCGATCTATAAATAATCGAGTCTGCACTATACAATCCAGTGATCAATAGGATGAGCATCGATTTAAGCAGTTTGGATACGATGACATGTGTCAACTAAGTCAGTGAGCCTGACCACAAATAATAATGTTAGACATTGATTCCTAGTGAAGGAATTATCAATTCTACTTGACAGCGATTCTTTCATCAAAAGTCATACAAAAAGGAGGATCCTCATCTTTTGAATAATATTCTTGAGTGTAATTGTCTTGACTTGACCTCTTTAAATCTGGGCTGACAGAGAAGTAAGTGTGTTGTATGTAATATTTTACACCAAATTTAGGTGTCTTGTTTTGCATTAGATCCCTGCTGTAACTTCTTATGGCAAGCTTATTATTATTATCATTGTGAGGTGTCGGATCTAGTGTCCAACATTTGTTGAGTGCTGCTGTAGTGGCAGAAGCTGTCACTGTGTAACGAGTGATTCCAACATGACCGGGCAACCAACAAAAGACAATGTTATATTGGCCAGTGGCAAGATCATTTGCAATTCGAGAATTTCGGCTTACATTGGATGTCTATTGGGACTGTATGACCCAAAGCACAAAGGAGAGTCTGAAATTAGTATGTATTGTTTGTATTTAGACAGTCTATTGATATATTTAAGAGCAGCTGTGAAAATAGAGCTTTTATACGGAACTGTAAACAATATTGTTTTGGATCCAATGACCGGCGCACCCGTCCGTGGATCACCTATAAATGTTTTGTAAGTGTTCAATGGCATTTGAGAAGTGGTTGAGTGAAAAATGAAGCATACAACGTAACTCTTAGCTTGATAACGGTGTAAGTAACTATATCGATACGTCGCTCTATGCAATAAACAAGAAGTTGCATGCTTCATAGATTTCGTAAGTGTTTCTTAATTGATGGTATTGTTATATGCCGATTAGCCGTTTGTTTTCAAATTTCAAGTTTGGTTAATTTAAGTTCCACAAGTGGTTTCATTAATTGCCTAGGTGGAGATGAAGAAAGCAGGCGGAAATGAGATATATTTCAAGGTCGATATTAGCAGCAGAAATCGCATGTTCAGTCCTTCTGCCTAGAAGCGGGATAAGACTTCTTATTGTACGTATCTTCATAACGGGGATTGAAAGAGCAGCTGTACTCTCTCTCTCTCTCTCTCTCTCTCTCTCTCTCTCTCTCTCTCTCTCTCTCTCTCACACACACATACATTCTCCACATCGCCCCCCGCCCGCCCCCACGCGCGCACGCACACACACGCACACATTCATATTCATGAGTACACACGCGCGCATGTGAGAAACTATTCCAGCAAATGATTTCGATGGCGAACAGGATCTAACAGAAGCGTCATTGAGCACAGGCTCAGTACAGCACTGTATATCCCCCTTTATACGTCCAGTCGTATATTTCCTCCAGACATTCATCACCACCAGCCCACACACATAAACACACAAGCACACATATGAACGCAGTAACATACACACATTGACACACACAAATACAGATACACACATTTATATGCATACTGGCACACATACACACACAGACACACACAAACACACACACATTGAGACACGGCCATATTCCAGCAATATCACGGCAGGGGGACACTAGAAATGGGCTTCACACATTGCACTCATGTGGGGAATCGAACCCGGTTCTTTAGCATGATAAATGGACACTGTTACCACTGGGCTACACCCCTCAGCCTCACAGAAGTGAGATGGTGTATTACTACGCCATCCTACTCAAGCCTGATCACTCACCTGTGGAGGATCTTCTCCATCTCCCATGACAAATAGTGCCTTGAACTTGTTGTATATCACTTCCGCCTTGGACTTGATGCGATCGCTGCCCTTGTACTTCCGACACTGAAAACACAACAGACCATTGAGTGAGTGAGTTTAGTTTTACACCGCTTTTAGCAATATTTCAGCAACATCAAGGCGGAAGACACCAGAAATGGGCTTCACACGTAGTACCCATGCGGGCAATTAAACCTGGGTGTTCAGCGTGACGAGCGAACGTTTTAACCACTGGGCTACCCCACCGCCCCTGACAGACTAGATCAGGGGTGCTATCCTCAAAGCGTTCAAGCGCCCATCACCCCCAACAACATGTTAGATTTCAGTTTTACTCTGTGATAAAGGCTATCATAGCTTTAACACTGTGAAAGGTCACTCGGGGTTTTCTCTCTTCAACCTCCTTAGACTCTAAGCGAGCTGGGATTAAAATTGTCATCACTGTGACCTAACTCCTGTGACAGTTATACTTCCACAGTGAGTGAGTGAATGGGTGAGAGCAGATTTCAATTCATTTTGGCAGTACATCAGGGATGAGTTGTTTGGGAATATTATTTCAGAGAGGCCTGAACGAACAATCAGAGTGCTGTTGTAGACAAGCTTAGAGCTATGGTTGACATAAGTCTCAGCTGAGGTAGGGAGGTACGGTCACTTTTGCTCTACGATCACTTTGTGCAACTACACACAAGTCCAGGCCCCGATTTCTTGAAACAAACTTAAGTCGGATTTTGACTTAGATTTACTCAAATTTGAGAAAGTGCAGGAAAATGCATTTCCCAGCATAAACTGAAATCAATATTTAACATGTTTTAGTTAAACAATGCAGTTGAGTAAAAAATACAGCTGTTTCAAATTGTCAAAGTTTGAAATTTGAGTAAACACATAAGTTTGTTTCGAGAAATCAGAGCCAGATCAAGGAAGCAGGGAAACATCAAGCATTTATTCACCTCATATTTAAATTAATTAATGGTGTTCTTTGGGCATTAAATATGTTTTTCCATTGTGAATTTCAAGTATTTTTACACCGATGAGAATGCCTCTGTATAATTCATAATATGTTTGTTTGGTTTGTTGTTTAACTCTCCACCAGCACGTGGAGTGAGCGAGTTTAGTTTTACGCCGCACTCGCAATATTCCAGTTATATGGGAGAGGAAAGATCAAAAGCATAGCATCGGTCTACACAACTGGGATATGATGACGTGTGTCAACCGGATCTGTTTCAATGCCGTTTACACCAACACAACAGGCCCAGTTGAGCTTCCTAATGTTGAGCACAAAGCAACACAGCCACACTGAGATCCACACCAGTAATCAGTTCCAGTAATTATGCATCCAGTCTTGCACCCTGAACACCAAGTCTCCGTCCACAGCCAAGGTAGACATCTTGTAGGCTACATTCACGTGGTTAACGTGTACTCACCAGTATGTAGATTCTAGTCAATGTACGTCTTTATATTTGGTCTTATAATCCTAATACGTCATCAAGTCCCAGTTTATGCCAAAATGATACCTAAGTTCATAAGTCACAGACTTTGGTATTGCGGCAATTATACCATATTTCCATGATATGGGGACTTCACCATTAGCAGAACATAATGAGAAATGTTTGAGCATTTAATCAATAACATATTAATGACAGATGTTGCATCCTAATGCCACAGATGGTCTACACAACAGTTTGACACTAAATAATAAACGTGCATGACTCCACTTCACAACTTCAAGCTGAACATTTAACAGGTTCCAGAAAATTGGCACACTTTCAGACAGTGTATGAGCCCGACATTTCACTTCTTTGAACCGACGCGCCAAGGCTCTGTATCAAAGACTATTCAACGAACAAATCACTCACTCATTCACTCGCACTATCAGCCACTGGTTTGGTATTCGAAATGAAAAATACCTTAACTAGGTGACAGACACCGAGTTTTCACCAAGTTCTCAAAGAGGACAGCGAGGTGTATGCGAAAGCACATACAAGAGGGCATAACTCTGCTTGGCTTCACACTGAGTCATTTGTGTGGGGCGGTAACACGTTTTGTGAGTGTGAGCGATTTTAGTTTTACGCTGCGTTCACCAATATGCTAGCTATATGGCGGCGATCTGCAAATAATCGAGTCTGGACCAGACAATCCAGTGACCAACAGCATGAGCATCGATCTGAGCAATTGGGAACCGATGACATGTAACAACCAAGTCAGTGAGCCTGACCACCCGATCCCGTTAGTCGCCTATTACGACAAGCATGGGTTACTGAAGGCCAATATTCCAACCCGGACCTTCACGGGTCTAACACGTTTTGTTATTCTTACAAATGAAAACATTCAGCAATAAATAGATGACCCTATCTGAAACGTAAATTCAGTGGGTGCATTTCACTGCATTTACTTGTATGTGTAATTGTGCTTGCACTGGGAAATTGGGTGAGTTCTAATCTTATACTCTAGTGTTAAGAATAAATAAATATTCCATATTACGATTTTAAAACAAAACGAAATATATTTATTTAACTTTAAAGTTGAGATTGAAGTGTTTGCTGCAATGCATGAATACACGTGATATTTGTGCCACATCTGGTTGGATGGTACCAGCACATGTTTCTCAAGTTCGTATGCTCTATATCAACGGATCCGCAGTCTCGAAACCATCTGTAAAAAGACATTTTCGTTCATTTTGTCGACCTTTCGTCCATT